GAGACAGAGAGAACAAAAGAAATGGGGTTTTTGTCGAGAGAAAATGCAGATAATGCAATATAATTCATACCTCACACTAAATGCATCAACAGCTCTTGATCGTTTGCTGTCATTATTTTTATTACTATGATTATAATTATGATTGTGGTGATTAAATGCACAATTTCAATCAAAGCGAAATGCTAAATTTAATAGCCTGGTACTCTTTTTTTTAACAAGAGATTCGAATTTCATCTTATCGCTTATAAAAATTTTTCTAATTTTTAGTGTTTAAAACGTGTCTATTACAATTTGGTCGTATTGAATTCGACAGGCGGACACTTTATCTAAACATGTTTTTGCGTGTTGGAGTTGAAGCGCGTGTCGTTTTTGTCTGAATTGAATCACTTGAGCGTATCTCCCACCGAAAAAAAACAACAACAGCACCAAATTCCAAACTCGAGAATTCAACGATTGATACAAATTGAATGTACAAATATTATAATCAGCTCAAAGCAAACTATGCAATGTGCACAATCTATATTCATGGGAAACCGACGAGCAGAGGGGACAACTCTTTATAATAAAAACTTTCTTTCATGCATAAACTTTTTTGGAGGCCATTGATATCAATATGAATGTAAAGTAGCAACATCTTTTTATTCTCTTGACCATCCGAAAAAAAAATTAACACATGAATGCGAGTTTCTCATGCACTCACTCATTTAATTATGAAAATTAAAAAATGATTCAACCCTGCTGAAATTTACAATTGCATCGCTAATTGTCTCACCTTTTCTCTCTCTCTCTCACTCTCTTTGTTCGTCTCATTCGCATCGATGTGCATCACAACCAAATGACCGACCAACCAACCAACCACAAATCATGCACTTCAGACGACTTGTCAAGTATCGGGCGAGTGGTCGCGAGTACAACCGACGCGAATACCTACTCGTTTATTCATGCACGCGTATTTGGTTGTTCATTTGGGGGCAATGTGTTATTGATATGTCAAAAACCGCTGCTATTCTTTTGCTGGAATTGAGTTATTGTTATTTACATCTATAAATTAACGCGGTTAAAAAAAGAGAAGCGCCACCAGCGATGATGATGGTTTTGGCCTTGTCACCTGACTGATTTTTCATTTCGAATGCATTATTCATAGCAATGCATGCCCGCCGTCAGTCTTTCGTCGTATGGTATGACATTCATTCACACCATGATGGTGATTCTTGATGCCCTTCGCTCAAATTCTATCTGCCATCGTTGCTTATGGAATTTTTGAACAATAAAACATAACGAAATTCTATAGAGTGTTTTAGATTTTGCATAAAAGGACTCTTGAGATAAAAATGATGTTTTTTTAGGTCGTCAAATGAATTATTAGAACCGCTTGATGCTCTAATTCATTATTGTTAATATGTTATTTAAATGGCTGGCTCTTTGTGTTCATTCTTTTTTCGTTTGACACTGAACACTTTTACCAATTTAAAAAGCCCTCCGAAAAAAAATTGCGCTTCGATTGTCTTTTGTCTTTTTTTTTGGTGAAAATTGAAACAACAAAACAACAAATATTTAAATTTCGTTCTAATTCTGCATGTGGACGAATTTTCTGCGTGCTTTTTTTTCGTGCTCATTTTGAATTTTCGGTGAAATCAAATTGAGGCCATCTCTTTTTGCGTTGTGCGTTCTTTTTTTCATATGCGCCCGTTTTTGTTACATTGCTGAATGACAACAAAGCCATGGTCGACATGTATTCGCGTCAGATGATGATGTAATTAATATAAGTGAAAACTTCCCAAATGAAAGCAACAAGAGAAGAAACTGATGAATGTATATTTGCGTTTTCGAGTGAAATATGTTTTAAATTTCATTTGTAGTCTTTTGTTTTGAATGCGCGCATGTTTGACACAAATTTTGCTTTCATTTCAAAAATGTGGTACACGCCCCAACCATGTTCAACCATGTACAACAATAATCAAAAAACGCACACTCTCTCAGAACAAGCGAAAAAGAAAGTGAGTGGGTGCACGCCTGATATGCTGGCAACGTGTGGCCTAAGGACAATATATGTCGCCAACAACGACATTGTCCGATCAATGGAAATAAGGAAACTCATAACGAAATAAATTAGCCTGTTGCGTTTGACAAATTATATAGAGTACACACGGAATTGGTGTACAATATTACCATCATCATCATTTCAGCAGAACGGTTTTCACATGAAACCAACGGCACACGCAAATTTAAATGTACAGTCGTCTAATCAAAGACAATATCTCGTCAATTAAATAAATGAAGAGAAAAACCGATGTTGTAATTATTTCGGTATTTCTATTGATATCAATCACCAAAACAATAATCTATATAAATTGTTCGTTTGTATAGAAATTGATGATACTAGCGGCCAAGTGATTTACTCACCGCGTTGAATGTGCGTTGGTAGGTTTGTTGACCCCAATGCTTTGCCTTTTTGACAAAATAAATATTGCGACGAAGCTGGGAATTTAATTACACGAATTAAATCAACAATGTGTATCATGTCGATTTCGGCGGTGCGTGTGAAATAGCATGAACATGGATTTTTATTTTTAAATATTAGCCGTGGTTTGAAAACGTACATAATTGAATGTGAAAACCAAATTTCAAACCGATATCCAATTTTTCTAAACAACAAAATCAATTGGAAAAACAAAAGAGCGAAAAAATTATATACATATTTATGCTCATTCAACTGGAGACTTTAGTTCCATTCTATTTGGCTCTCACTTTATTTTCGGCACTCAATGCACCTCTATAGATACTGTTTATTACATAAATGATGATGTGTGTGTTCTCGCGTCAGAAAAAGTATAGCGTGTTGAGTGCAAGATCATTTCATGTGAACCAATTGAACGGATTTTTTTTTTCGATTCTCAAACGATGATAATGCAAAAATCATCCCACACATTTTGTTTCTATATAAAATTCACAAATCAATGGCATTCATTTCTATGTTCACCATTTTTTTTATTTGTTTGCAGTCCATTTCTTTTGTTTTGTTTGCTTTTTTTAAACGATGATGGCTATTGTATGCCCAAGCAAAAAACTTTTAACATTAAATGGTAGCGCTACATATTACCTTTACAATGAATTGTGATGCATTCGGCTCAGGCTTATTTTCTCTTCTTTTTTCGATAGAAATATTCACAGGTACCGCATGCTGAGCAATGTATAATCTATATGTTTGTGCTTGGTAATTAAACGGTTGTGTCGAGCGATGTGCGAGCGTTTATCGTAATATATTGTCATTTGCATTGAATATATTGTATTATTATTCACTTCTTTTGTGTGCGTGCATGTCTTTTGTGTGTGTATGCGTGAGAAAGAGTATTGCCGCACCGAATGATAGTGAACGAACATAGATTGGTTCAAACGACAGAGATGAGCTCCGATGTGATGTGTGTCATGAAGTGTGATTTTGTCATCTGTTTCAATTCGTCGCGATGAAGAAGAAAATAAAGAGCGAGAGAGAAAGAGAAGAAAAACAAAACTCATTGATCCATACAAAATTTAGAACAAAACTAGATAGACACATTCAATTCACTTGCTACCGTTGATCATCATTGCTTATTCATTCACACTCGTATTGCAGATTATTATATGCGCTGGTACTGGTTGCTGTGCTCTTTTTATTCATGTCATTTTCTAAAATGTTTCGTTTCATTATTTCAATACAGTTTGAAATTTCCGGAAAATCAAGACAAAAGAATATCCGTTTTCTCTTCATCTATCTCAGCGAAATACGAATGAGCAAGAGACCTTTCACATTTGCATATTTATGATGTGTGTGAATTGTGCGCGCGGGTGCGCGAATGAGCGTGTTTCAGTGTGACTTATGTTGTGCACTCGGTGAGCAAAGTAGCCGAAGACAAAGAAATAATATTGTGTATGTGTTTGTGCCAGGTGCACGACGCTATGTACACATGTTTCAATTTATGATACGAAATTTGAATGATCATTGACAAGAACGCCATAAAATATATTCGTAGCATGCATATTATAATTTGGACACCCACAACATTCAAATTCAAACAAATTCTATTGACTTTTTCAAATAAGTGACATTTATAATAAAAAAAAAAAAATTGAGAAATGATATCGCCGTCAATCCACGTTCTTATTCAACTTGCATATAAAAAAAAATTCACTGAGAAAAAAGTTCAATAACAAAATTGTCCTTAGAAACAAGATGCCATTATTGAATTCGGTAGATACCGTTGTATCATTTGAGCACATGGGTTGAATGAGCAGTGATTGAGTGAAAAAAGAGCATCAGCCTCTCTCGTTAATTACAGCCTTTTTGCGATGATAAATTTAATCGAAAGTTCTTTGCATCGTTACAATGCGAGAAATAGAGAGAGAGGGAGAGAGATGTAGAATAGTTCACGGTAAAACTGTTCTGGCGCTCGAACTATGAGAGGTGCGCACGTTACACTGGGCTTAATTATTATTCTATTTTTTTTTGCTTCTGTTCTGTTGTATTTTAACGTTTATTACATTTGCCCTTTTGTGTGTGTTATTTTTGTTGTTCCTCTCTTTTTGCATTCGGAAGCACAGTTACTGTTTGATTATGCCTGCTTAGCGAGTGGATATGATGTTTTGTTTTTTTCTTTCTTTTTTTTTCAATTTTATGTGTGCTTTTTTTGTGAAATAAACAATTTTTTTCTCTCTCTCTCTACTTCATATAGATAGCCAATGTACGTATATTGTCATGTACCGATATATCTGTATCGTCATCGCATTTTGCTTCATCATCAACATCGGCCTCACAAACAATAGATTACATACGTATTTTAACATCGTATGTGTAATATGGTGATCATTCGCTTCTCTTTTGCATTGTCTATATCTATTCCAAAACTGGCCGACCGACAAATAAATGCGACTAACGATCAGCACATAACACAGAAAAAAAAACTATATTTTTTAACAGATTTTTTAAAATAATCAGTTATTGAGGAGATTTGGTCGCGAGCGGTCGATATTAAAAATTGTTCCTCGCACCGGACACCGCACATGATACATTACATGAAACTGATTTTTTGCTTGCATTACTTTAAATCGAACGAAATACTGCCAGAACTTATTAATCACAATTGAATGCAATGTGATTTAATAAATTGAATTATATAGTTTTTTTTATTCGTAATCAAGTGCAAATACAGTGCTGGAAAAGTGTAAAGTGACTTTGATATAAGAAGAGAATATATTTTCAGTGACTTTTTTCCCCTAAATTGTTCGTCAAGACTTGCATTTCAACAGGTGTGCGAAGTTTTTTCCTGTTGGTTTTTGGCGGAGGATATATATCTTTCGAGCAGATTAACCGAATTTGAATTGAATCGAAAAAAGGATTATTTTTCCTTTCCAAAGGATAACGGTTATTTACTGGACTTATATACACTTAATAAATTAGGTAAGAGAGTTCATACTCTATTTTTATCGTTTTTTTTTTTGCTCCAAGTTTTGTGAAGCCAATGAAAAATGCATGAAATCACTTTCAGAACCACAAAAAGGATAAAAAAAAATTCCACGAAAAGCGTATATTTACGTAAAAGTTTACATGTTGATGACATTTTCTTTTCGATTTTATTTCTTCTTCTTCTTCGAGCCAATAAAGAATCAATGTCGAAGGATCGAAAATGAATTACATTTTTTTCTATATCTCACTCTCCTTTTTCTGCTCGAATGAATGCTACTCACTAATTTCAGTTTGAAAAAAAAATGTGTCAATCTATATATAAAACCAAATTCAATTTTCCAACGAATTCAAATCAATATGAATAGAGTATGTATGTAATAGGTACGTTTGTAATGTATACTCAACCAAAATACCACAAGACAAAACCCATAATTGCTATGTCAAAACCTTATATGGAAAATTGGTATCCAGATTGAACAACGTATGAAAAATAAAAATCGAAACGATTAGGACCATCTAATAAAGAAATAATTCAATGACCTTCGGCATTAAGGAGTTCACAAAAATACCAACAACAAAATATCCAAGAACATGAATGATTTATTTGTAGACACAATTATAATAGAATACGTGTAGTTAACAGTATATTATAATTTCAATCCCATTTAAATGAATATCGATCATAACTTTTGTCAATATGATTCAAAGGCAGAATATATATATTTTTTTTGTTGATAAAAAAGCTTTGCATATGCCCACACAACCAATACTGGAATCATATGCTCGTGGCAATTGAACTCAAATTTTCAGGATAAATGAACCGTTGTTGCCATTGAAGCAAATCGAACGGTTGTTCAGTTGAATTTCGTGTGGAATCCTATTTCAAGTGTACTGAGAAATAAAATACAATCGCATTTCGGTATTCATTCCTCTTTCAATCTCTCTGCCTCTCAACTCTGTGCCTCCTGTCATCTTGTCACATAGTTAACGAATTAAACGCCAAGTGACTTACACCAATAATACACATAAATAAATGACAATAAATAAAAAAAATTCGACCGAAATGGTCATTGACTTTAAGGAATGACTAATGAAAATAAACTGAATCCTGTGAACGCACATAAGCGCACGATGAAAAATAAGCATCATTGACATGACGGTGTTTGAACGTGTTGGTATGCAGAAATAATTCCATGTCGAGTGCTCCGCCCCTTGTGGTTTGACACCTTCAGGGAACTGAGTGGAATGAACACCGATGTACACACAAGCCGAAAATGAGCAACAAATTTATCAACCGTGAAAAGAACCACCGCAAAAAAAATCAACAATAAAAAAATATTATTGAAACAAAGAAATGTTTTTTTTTTTTGCGATCGCTAAACAATCATTGCATTCAATCGCTCCGTTAGTTTTTGTTTTCATTTGCGCTCCTGAATATCGTTTCTTTTCAAATGGTCAATGATTTTGTCTACGGATCAAATGTCTAATGCTCGAGAGCAGTGCGCGCTGATGCTGATCTATTCATGCACTCGCATATTTTGTTTGCCCAATCGTGATGATTTTATTTTAATTAGTCATTCCGTTTTGTTTTGGCACAACGCACCATATTTTATTTTAGCATTCTTGTGTGTACAGGTTTATTAAAACAAAAATACGAGAAACAAATGTATTAAGCACATTCTGAAGCGACAGACGCCTACACATAAATTCTCATGGTGTGTAATTCATCTTTCTCTCATGTGCGTGTCTGTAATATTAGTGTGGTTGATGCGTTTTTCTCGCGTCTCTCGTTTCTCGTTGTTGTTTTTATTTTCCGAAAAAAATGCCACTTTTATTTTGTACACCATTTATTTGCTCTTTTTTTTAAAGCAACAAGCAATATTGTGAATAGCACGCCAAAGTGACACGATGTAATACAATGGTGACGATGAAATCAAAAGCGAAATGCGAATGACCATTTGACTCGTTCGTGGTGTAATAGCCATTACATGAACGTGTTCGCACAACGCAGTGAGAGCGAGAGAGAGAGAGAGAATGAATAAGATCGATGGTTTTCCGTGTGTGAATGTATATTCTAGCTGGCGGGCAAATATTGCGCGATCGTATTCATACGCTCATATTCTATCTGTCTCATGTATACGCTCATCTCTCGCATAAAAATCTTTTTCAGGTGGATAAATAACTCATTGCGACAACGACAAAAGACCGGAACTCACTTCCGCCGATTGGATTTGCTGATTTTGTCACGCATTCTGAACTTTTTAGATATTTATTTCGCTATTTTATCTCAGCGTTCGTTCTTTTATTATTATTATTATTATTTTTTCTCGCCCGCAATTCGATTCACTACGCTGTACATGTATATATTTTTTAAATTGTATTGTTTTCATCTTTCTTTCTTTCATTCTATGCATATATGTTTTTCACTCTCTCTCTCTCCTACACACACACACTCACAATAGGTCTTTAAATAATTTAATTTCAAACAGAACAATATTCTAAATCAGAATTCATATTCCGATCGAACTAAATGCGAAAAAAAAAGAAATTGAAATTTTTTACGCTCATTATGTGTTCAAAGGTGCCTGTGAACCGAATCTGTTGAGCAATTTTTAGGCACGCACAAGTACAGTTATGCGAATTGAGCACGCCGCGTGTAGTGTACCCACGTAAATGCATCCATAAAATGTTGCAAAGAACAAAGAGTTCTTTTCTTTTTTTTTCAGGGAGTTTTTCCCTTTAAACAATATTTACAAACGAATCGAAAATATCCAATTATTCAATTCTCACGCGTTCTCCTTTTTCTTGCCGCTTGTTGCTATTGTTGAGTTCTTTTTTGGGTGACACGTGCTAAAATTCAAAGAAAGTTGAAGGGGTGTACCATACACATTCTCATTTAATTGTTTGGAATGGTGAACAAGTGTTCGACCCGTCACGTAAATTTAGCAACAAAAAAAATTCGCACTTGATGCCATATATCGTTTACTACATTGTATGTGTATGTGTCCTATGGTGAAATTGATTCATAACTGAAATAATGACGACGACGATGAACGATGATGATGTTGACTCATGATAATTGTTTCACAGTGACCCCAATATTTTCGATGATTTAAATTTCACAATGTTGAAATTTTCTTTTTTTTCTCTTTCTCTGCGTGTATAGTTTAATTTTATGCTGGTTATTGCGTTTTTTTCTATGCATGTTTATTGGTTGGCTCTTTTTTTTCATGAATCCGCTCATCGCAACACTCAATCGAATTGATATGCATGACAAAATTTAAAATAGTAGCATTTTTTTGGCATTTTTTGTGTATTCAATTTATGTTTGGCAAAACGAATGTGAGTTCACTCTGAATTCCAAGTGCATGCGAACAAAATATTTTATTGGCTTCACACAGTTTAGTTAGTTAATTTATTTTTTGGTTTCGTTCATGTCAATTTGATAACATAACGAACATGTGACGAAAAACAAACGAAAAAAATACCACATATAATATAATCTGTGCACAGGCACACATACACGGTATATTTCGTTAAAAATGATTTTGGATCAAGAATTTAGAAAATTATGCAATAATTTTCATGGGTAACGAAAAAAAATATCGCGAGCACGCCTGAAAATTGTTTGATAGCTTAACCTACATTATTATTTTTTTTATTGCACTGTATGTTAATCTTGTTCATTTTATGATTGTTATTCAACCTTTCCACAACATTGCATTTCAACTGATTTGATGTTCGTTTTATTTTTCTTCTTTTTTTCATCATTTTCGATTCACGTCTATCTACTTGCTTGGAATCGGAAATATGTTTTTTTTTTTAATTTCTATAGGTGCTTCTCCTGCCAACAAAACCATGTGCATATGAACTACTATCGAAACATTTTTAGTCACACACTCAATATTCAAACTATATACGAAACTACAAAATTAGCAACAAAAACAAAATGCGTAAAAAACAGAAACTTTTGCCGAGCATATCGGAAGTTTTGTTCTTAGTTATTCTAATAAGGATTGCATCTGTGTTCGGTGAGTCATAGTTTTATCATTTTACTTTTTCCACTTCCGCACTTTCTTTCATTTTAATGCATGCACTAAAATTTTTGCATGAAATGGCATACATATGTGCATCCGGTGCTTAAGTCATCTTTGTCTTCTCCAACAATAGCTGCAACAACAACAGAAACACCATATTTATCATGGAGTGTCCTTCTGAAAGTTTCCATCTCATGATAAAACACTTTCATGTGTGGTGTCTATTGTATGGTAGTGGTGGTTGTTGTTGCTGTTGTTGGTGGATGCTGCTGTTGTTACGTTGCATACCATATCATATGTATCATTCTCTTCCCCAATTTTATATGAACTTCATTTATTGCTATGTCAATTGGTATTTAGGTCAAACAACATGTAATAATGGACAAGGTAGAGTGCTATATGAACGTTTGCCAAATCAGCAGTTACAAGGTTTCGATGATGATATGGTTCGTGAGACATTGCCACCATTTCGAGTGCTGGAAAAATGTCAAGACTTATGCTTACGGGATCGTACTGCATCCAATAATTTGGTTCGTGCATGTACAAGTTTTGATTTTCAACCGGGCAGCCGAATTGCATCGTACAGCGGTAGTCCGGAATATGAGGAATCAACATGTTATCTAACACGCGAACAGCCAGCTCCAGAGGGCATTGGCATATTAATGTTGGTGCCGAACAGTGTTCATTTTACAGAAATTTGCTTGGCCTGTAAGTTTGGACCGCATCCCGTTTTTTCCATCCGCTAAACATATTAATTTTTTTTTATTACCTTATGGGATAAAAATGACTAAGTGACTTTTTATTTTCAGCAAGCCGACCTGAACGTGAGTGTCCTAGTCGAAGATATGTATTCGAAAGACATCCACGCAAAAAACTTAAACTGCCCGTATCGGATATTAAAGAAGTATGTTGGCTCATTAAATGCACATCAAACAAATCGATCTGTTTCGATAAAATTTCACATTTTTTGTTATGTTTAGATAACGGCCGCAAATCGATCCGATTGTGAAGACAAATGTTTGAATGAATTTTCGTTTGTGTGCCGTTCAGCAAATTACGATTCAAACTTGCGCAGTTGTTCACTCAGTCGGTTTACACGTCGTACACATCCCGAACTCATGGAAGACGATCCCAATTCAGATTATCTGGAAAACACTTGCTTAAATGGTAATGAAGTTTTGGTATTTTTTTTGTTTTATTTGAATTGTGATCGATTCGATGAATTTCGATTAAAGAAAATGTCTTTAATTGAAAAAGAAATACTGATGCTTATATAAAACGCAATAATTCGAATTTATTAATTAATGAATATAACATGTTATATTGTAGCCGAACGACGATGTGATGGTTTGGCGGTATTTGTAAAAGAGGAAAACAAAAGACTCGGCGGTCCATTCGAAGTGGATATATTCAATAATATGACGCTAGAAGAGTGCCAAACGATGTGCGTTCGAGCTGAAAAGTGAGTAAATTATAAATAAGTAAGAATGAAATAGATGCGATGATATCATTGAGAAATGACATTGCGATAACACTTATTAACGATATGACTCATCTGATATTTCAGTTTTTTAATAATAAATGCATTTTAATTGTCTGTGTCTATGTTTTTGTTTGTGCTTTGTGCATATTTGTTTAGGTATTTTTGTCGTTCGGTTGAGTTTGATGATCAAACAAAACAGTGTATACTATCTGAAGAAGATTCGATATCGCAAAAGGATGACATAAGTGTGAGCTCAAGTCCGACACATCATTTTTACGATCTCGTTTGTTTGGATAACCGTAAGTCATATTGAGTTCAATATGTTCTAATTTTAATCGAGTTTTGTTGATGTTTGCTTTTGTGCAAAACACATTATCGAAATTCGGTTTCTATTTTCATTCCAATTTTGACTAATCATTCTAAATCGGGTTCAAATTGAACGTTCTTTTTTTTCTTTCTCTCTCTCTCTTCTATTTTAAACAATTTTCTATTTTTAAATATCGCATGTGCCGATTCATCATCGGCATGATGATAAATTAGAACGCGGTCAAGAATATCCAGACAACTCAGGTACATCGCATTTATTTTCTGGTGGCAGACGACCTGATACAGCATTTCAACGATATCGCAATTCACGTTTGGGTGGTGAATTTCATTCGGAAATTACTGGACGTTCGTTGAGCGAATGTTTAGACGAATGCTTACGTCAAACCAGTTTCCAATGCCGATCGGCCGTTTACTCAGATCGATTTAGAACGTGTCGATTAAGCCGTTACAATCAAAAGGATGGAATGCGCATTATTTATGATGCCGACTATGATTATTATGAAAATTTAATGCGTATGTATCACCGTACAAATATTGTACACATTTTTTTCTCATTCATTTCGTTGTAAAATTGTTTCGTTCAGTTTGAAAGTAGTTTCATTCTTTATTCCCATTCCATAAATATACACATAATAAATTAAAAATCACACATTCGCTTAATTTATCACGTCATCAATTTTATCGTCCCATTCTCGACACTTGCAGTAGGTGGAGATGGAGACGATCGTGATCGGCCAAACATGAACAGACCCGATTGGCAACAACCGCCTTATTATGGTAATTTACTAATTATTATTGCAATTCAGCAATTTGCCAGCATTTTTTTATTTTCTCGGCTCACTACTTGACAAACAGCAACAATAAAAATGCGCGCTCTTTAATTAGTGCCTCGGATTTCAAGAGCAATTCCGCAATTCCATTCACGTTAAATAAAAGTTCAATTTAAATGACAAATAAGCGCAATCGAACTGAATTATTATTACATGATTATTGAATGATTTATAAATAAAATATGATTTAAAGGCGATCGTGATCGAGACCGTGACAGAGATAGAGATCGTAATCGGTTCCCAAGCAAATATCCAGATGATGATCGTTATGGCGGACCGAATCGTTATCCGATGACACCCGAACGCTATCCGATGAATGGTTATCGACCAGACACCAGTGGATATGGTTAGTGTGTGCCTTTTTATATTGCAGCATTTTTTATTTTGATTTTGGTATAAACACTAAATGCGAAATATTTATTTTTCACATAAAAACAACAACAGACGAACGATATCCTGACTATATGGGATACGGCGGCGGCGGTGGTAGTGGCAGTGGAGGTGATGGATATGGCGGTGGAAGTGGAGGCATGATGGGCGGCGGAGGTGCTGGCGGCGGCGGTTACCGACCATATGGTGAGTTTATTTTGTAAAAGAAGCAATTTCATTGATTAGAAAAGAATTTCAAGTGAAGCGCTCTGGATTTCGAGTTCAAAGTCACAATGAACACATTAACAGAGTGGCACATTTTATCTCGACTCTCAATCAAAACATGTGTTCATGTATTGAGAAGAGCACATATAAAACGTGCTTGAATTATTTCTTTTTTTTTGCTTTTTTGTCATGTTGAAAAACCATTTTTGCTTTGAATTAAAACGATTGTAATAATAACTAATGAGAAGCACATTTCTCTGTTTAATCTATCTGATTTGAAAATCAAACAAAAACGCAATACGTAGAAAATACATGTTTTTTTTTAATAAAATAAAAAAAGAAGTTACAAAGAACGAAAGAAGAAACAGAGAAATGTTCTATACTCAAATGCGAAATTGAAACATCATTTACTAATTTATAATTTTCACGCAAAATAAAATTGAACAAAAATCAAACGCTTTGACAAACACTGAAAAACAAAACAAATCAAAGATCGATATCCATACGATGATCGGTATCGACCAGACGATCGATATAATAGCATTGGTGGAGGTGGTGGGAGATACCGACCGGATGATCGATATCGTCCCGATGATCGTTACGGTGGAATGTTTCCACCAACGCGTCGCATTCCGCCAAGATATCCACCATCTAGGTATCCACCAATGGACAATGGCATTGGTGGTGGTGGCGGCAGTGATATGGGCGGTCGATATTATCCGGAAAATCGGTATCCAGAATCAAGACCCGATCGTTACCCAACCGAAACCGATGGCCGATATTATCCAACAACTGTAACTGGCACACGGTATCCAACATCTGATAACCGCTTCCCGGTGGGTAACGACCGTAGTCCGATTTTCATTCTCAAGTACGGCAATCGATATGGAGGAGGAGGTGGATCAGGAGCAGGAGGCTCAGGTAATTTCTTATTTTGTGTGTGTTTTTTTTTTGTTGTTGTTGTTGGTTTGATTCATTCTTCCCTTGCGCCACAAATTTTCCATTTACTTATTTTCTTCACTATACTCATATTGTTTGTGTACCTTTTTCATTCTCACATTTCTACACACACACACACATTGTACTCAAGTTGTTTGTCATTTTTGTGTTTGTACAACATATTTTTGTTTTATTTTTATTTTTTTCTTGTATTTTTGTATGAAATATAAAAGAATCTATAAAAATGATTCCCATTAGTTGAGCTATAGTAAGTGTTTGCGTCGAAAAGTAACAAGAGCATTGAATATAATGCGGGCATATACACTCATGTATTTCCGCGAATTGGATTTAAACACAATGCCAGTCTATTGACATTAGTGTATGCTTGGTGTTTTGGATGTTATAGTTGCTGCTGTTTCTGTTGTCATTTATTTATTTATTTTTTTTTGTTATTTATCGAGTCTCGAGAGTGTGTATGCTATGCTGAAAGTGCGAACGAATGAGCACACTTTGCTACTAGAATTACGTGTTTGCGATATTATTTAGAAATCTTAAGAATGTAAGTGTTCTATTACAAAGCTATATGACTTCGGTTAATTGTTCTCCCTCCCCATGTCCGTTCAATTCTCCCTGTCATTCTTATTGGAACGCACATTTCGTACATAGTCACATAAATGCTCAGTTTTGTGCACACACACACACAAACAAAAAAATGTTACATTAACTATCTGGGAGATAAAAAAGGAACACTAGAAATAAACAAAACATCGAGAGTCTTTTCAAGTAATATGAAAATATGAAATATATTAATGTAGATGGTATATACTATTGTGCACATTTGCACACACAAACACACACACACACATCAAACAATCCAATCCCATAAAATGAGTAGATATTTAAAAAAAAGATTCACGTATTTATATAAATAGAACATTGAATGTCGAGAACGTCAAAGAATATTTACAACGACACACACGCAAATGCTCATATAGTAAAATAAAATAAAAGTGTGCAAAAAAAAATCTCATACGCACACAAAACAAACATCGAGAAAGAGCGGGCGAGGAGAGTTGAGAATTTGAAGACAGACTCACAGCGACAGACAAAACACTCCAAAATTAAATGAACCGAAGAAACGATGGGATACACACATATACTATACAAAAAAAAAAAAGAAGTAAAAGAAGGGAAAAGCAACGCAAAATAAACAAAATAAATAAATATTCGCTAGCTCATTTCTTCTCTCTCTTGCTCTCAAAGGGCGGTGAATGTCTTGTTTGACTGTCAAATGCACAAAAATCAACGATAGCCGAACAAAAACACAAAGTCGAGAATGAAAGATTAAGCAAATGAAGAGGAAAAAAATTCTGAGCGAATAACATATATACAATGAATGCGAAACATCAGCTTCGCCATCAACAATGAATACGACAAATACAACGGCGGCGGCGGCGATGGCAGTAACACCACCACCACTGAAAGTAATAAAATTCATTCTGTGGTGTTCAGGTATTCTCAAGGTCATATCGAATGACTCCGTCGCTTCGGAGCACTCTTTCTCGCTCGCCAAATCTCGTGCGGTCTTTTTCTCTTACACAATGTCTGTGTGTGCTTGTGTGTGTGTGTGCGAGTTGAAATTGTGTATATGCTCGAATTTTCTTATTCGGCCGAATATAAACGTGAATCAAAATGGACAACAAACAGAAGTGAGAAGAGTGAAGCAGCTACAACATTGGCAGCCGCAGCGAAAAATAAAAAAAAAGAATTCAGAATAAAAATAAAAACTAAAGATATGGTTTTATATATGTTCATTGCTCGTTCACAGTACATTGCAAAGTATATAGAATGAGATTGTTTATATATTCATATAAACACCCGTATATGATGTAAATATGCAATGTGATCGATCGAGAGAACGTCGCAAGAAAGAAACAAAAAATGAGAGAGAGAGAGAGCTGAGACGAGAGACGAAGTGAGTAAATAAGCAAAAAGGCAGTACTGAACTGTATGTAATGTGGCGGTCGCATGGTTTAAAGTCGGTGACTGAAAGGGAAACAACAAATATATCTATGTACAAATGAATATAAGAAAATCTGAAACAGCGAAATTGAAACACAACGAACTCTAGTCGCGTTCGTACATAAGATAATAATAACCTATCGACATATAATACGAAACAACATGTACCAACAATACGGGGAGCGAGTGTGCGATGTGTGTTGTCTTCGTTCGTTCATTCGTTCTTGGCCCCATACACAAAATGCACATACTGTCATACACACACACAAACACAAACCGTCACATTCACACAGCGTTTGTGCACCGCCAAATGGATATACATATTCTATAGAATAGATAATATATGGAGAATATCGACGGAGAGCGAATCAAGACTGCACAGAGCGAATCCGAGCACCCGATCTCTCGCATGCACGACTTTTGTTGGATGTTTCAAATAAAAGACAGTCCATTTTCTTCGAGAATATGCACACACAGTATATATATATAAGATATATTATGCAAATAATATATATATCTAAATGGAAAGAAGAACAGCATTATAGAATACAGCCAAAATTATATGTGTATAGATATAGATGTATATTAAATGTAGAAATCCTGCTCTACGCCAATAAACCAGACAAACGCGCCAGAAGCGAAAAATAAGCAATGGCAACAACTATGACAGCAATCACAACAATAATAATATGTAACACGAAAGTACATCGAAAGAGAGCGAGCGCATGAGAGAAGAGTGTGACGGCAATGACGGCGAGAGAAAAGGCACATATACAAACCAGATGGAAAATGTTTTAAATGCATAAACATCGCACCGAACAAATACGCATATCGCATTCAATGCATATATAACATTGTAAATACATCAAATTATATAGACTGTACCGTACGTTAACACCAAAAGAATTCAAAATGCTTCTAGTTTAGTACGGGCCGCATTTATTTTTAAAATTCAACTACGACAACAACAACAAGCGAAGACTTCGATTCGATCGCCTTCATTCAGTATTTTCTAGTCTATAGCTTCTCTTACATTTATTCTTGTTGTCTCTTTTTTTTGCTTGAATTTAAACATGCACTCATATATTTTATATATTGTGTGAAATCCAATACTCACCATTATTCGAGAGAATCATGCACACACACATATGCCGTGTCTCATCATCACGCTTTAATTGTAATCCAATAAGTGTCGTTGTTGCGCTGCATTCAAACTTATTTGCATTCACAGCAGCAGCAGCAGCAGCAGCAGCAGCAGCAATAGCAAAAAAATACAATGTTGAATTACACTCTCTGTCCTTATCGCTCCGCTTGCAAAATGATTTAATCAGTTAGCTTTCTGCCGTACGACGATTCTTTCTATGTCTTATTCTTATCCTCAATTAGTTATTATGTGAACAGAAAATATGTGCGAAAATTTCCGACCGCAAACAAAATCCGATCGTTTGACTTTTGATTAATTGCACCAATGTGTTTTTTTTCTTCTTTCTTTTCCTTTCTCACTCTCCCTCCCAGCTTTCGTTCCTGTTTATTTTGCAAACACCTTTCACACGTGAAAAAGCCGGAGGCAAAGAAAACACTAACACATCGAAATTATGCCCGAAAAAAAATTAAATATTTCTATTTTTTTATTTGGAAAAACAAAATAATCTTATTTGAAAGCAACTGCAAATCACTCATCAACAGAAATGAGCACTTTTTTTTCAATGCGAGACCCGCAAACTGTCTTTAGTTTGAAAGAAATGTAACAGCCGTTGTTGCTAATGTCCCTTTGCCGTTTGTTTTTATTTCTTCTTCGGTCCAAATGAAATGCAAATTTTCGAAACGAAAAACTTATCAAAACAAAAGTAAATTTATCAAAACAAAGTTCGGAAAAAAGAATGGTAATACAAGCGGCAATTTATACACACTTAAAAATCATATCGTCATATGCACAAATTAAAAAATATGTATGTATCATGATATATTAGCGTTGTATCGTGAATCCGTCTGCGTTTCAATGCGCATTTTACGATTTTAATAACAACCGAGAAATGAACGAGATATACTCAACACACTGAACTCAATATGAGAACTAAACAGTGTCTCATTGTGTGTGCACCGAACAACCTATATCGCGACTCTCTGAACAGTCGAAACTGAACGGCTTGTGTATTGCTCACTCTTTCTCTGTCTTACATCGACGTTGTCGGATGGTCTCGGATAGTTTTTTTCTTCTTTCTTCTTCTTCTTCTTCTTCTTTGATGTTTCTTTCAACGCGCGCGGCTTTCTTGTACATTCTACCTTTACTCGTCAATACATTCGCGTTTGATTTGGCTTTGGTGTGTCTTTTTATTTCTCGAGAGCGATGAAATGGTTAATCACGTCGCTGACAACAACAAACTAAAAACAGCAGAAGACAACAACAATATCAGTAAATGGTGGTTTGAGTTCTTTTACTTTTAGTTACCGAGAGAGCTTTTTTCCTTTTTTGCATACACACACACACACACACAATAGTTTGATGAACATAAAATTCGCAATTCTCTTGGCAAATTTTGTGAATTTTTTTTAATTATTGAGCTTAAAGCATTCGAGTGGTTTACTACTTTGTGACTATGACAAAAATGTCATTGACTTTCAATAACTTAAAATCATATATAAAACATTGATTGTGTGCGACTGAATTTCTCTCTTACCCGTCCAATGTTTGCGGACATTCGAAGAAAAAGATGAAGTAGAAATGATGGGGTTTTTTCCACCTTCATTTCTTCACATTTAATGGTCGTTCGTCGCAATCGTTGTCGCTGAAACGCAAGCCTATTTCTTTCACACTTTTTGTGTGCCGATTATATTTATTTATTTACTATGGCACTGGCATAACATTGTTCGCGGCGATAGTGAAAGAAAATGTGACAGGCACAAATCTTCACAACAAAATAAAGTCATGTTAAGCCAAATAGAGAACCTGTGTTTGTTTCTCAAACTCTTCACCAATTCTCTTTCTTCGTCAGTATGGCTGCCACTTACACTCAACTCTCGACCATAAGCAACAAAATCATTTCAAGGTATACATGTAGAAGCAGCAATGATGGCGAATGTAAAATATGAAATGGGCAGAAAATCATCTTTGGCAAGTACAAAATGAACAGAGAGAGAGAGAGAGAGAGAGAGAGAGAGCGAAGTCAATGGAAATAAAAGTGTTATGCGCCATCAGGCAATGAATACGCTTCATAAAGCATATAGTCGCTTTCGCTATTTACGTTAGCCGGTGTTAGCCAGTTCCATCCATCATAGCCAATAGGACGGTTTTTTTCTGCATACCTCTTTCATCTTCTCTCGTTCGCTCTCGTATGCGTGCTGAACATTCGAGATTGAAAGTGTTCGGCACGCGAGTTTGAGCAAACTATTTTCTCTGGTTATTGAAAGAAAAAGAAACCACAACAACACAGCACTTATAATAATGTCGTACTTGTCTTGGACTTGTTAGTGTTTGTTTTGTATATATGTATAGTTTTTGTTCCGTATGTTTTCCATCGGTTCAACGCTGGAAATGCCAATGAAAAACCGACACAAAGCAATTAACGCAATCCATTTGAAAATGATGTGGTGCTGCTGCCATTGCTGCTCTGAGACGAAATAAAAACAATGACAACGACGACAATAATATCGGGAATATTGAACCAGCTCGTGTGGCTCAATTTCGATCTCTATTTTTTCACATGTGACACAATGGCGATGAAAAAGACAAGTTGTTAAATCAGCAATCCATCGAAATGTGTGAAATGTTCACGTAATGATGGTTATTCCATACATTCTTCAATCGTGTTATTTTTTTCCCTTCATTCTTTTTTCCTTATTTATTGGTTTCTGTTCTATTAATACTCGTATTTTCCGTTTTATATCTCGTTTTTAAATGTCTTTCCTCTCGCTCTTTTCAAAAGTATGAGTTAGAGAGCGAGAGAGAGAGGAGAAAAAAAAGTGACTTGAAGCCAACATTTCGATTTCTTTTGTCTGCTGATGTCTTTTCGTTCATAAAAACATGAATTGTGTTTTTTGTGCTTCTTTTCTCTTTTTTCTCACATTTTGTTCAAGTTTTCTGTTCTTTTCGCTTTTGTTTATTCACTTGTTGTTAGTGCTGCTGCTGCTGCTGGTGGTACTGGTGTGTTATATTTATTCAGTATGTGTTTGTACGTGAATGTGACGAACATTGATCGTTTTGTTATATGTATATTTGAGCAAATAAATTGGTTACTATGGCGGAAAGATTCGTCAGCGTGCGCTGATGTTAATTAACAGCAGGTGAATTTTCTATTTGGTTGCGGATTATTGCTTGTTATTTAGTTTTGTGTGTTGCTTTTATTCTTTTGGTTGTTCTTCTGTTTGGCGTTTCTGTTTCAGGTTCTCAACCTGATAGTTGTTAATTGTCGCTGTATCTGAATACGTTGGCCTTTTCAGTATGTATCCATATATGAATTGATAGTCAAATACAATACCCGATATGGGCAGATAGAGAGAGTAAGAACATGTTTGCGAATTTTGGCTTTTCAAACACGTGGCCCAGCAATTTATCTTGATCTGTGATTTTCTATTTTTAGTTACTCTCCAAAATGTATTCATTTATGAATATGTGTCTGTGTGTGCGACGACAAAGTCTTTTGTTTCGTCTTGAAAATGTTAAACGCGCTTTTGCCATGGTCTTGACTGATGCGCATAAATGTATATTCAGATTCAGTGATTCAACTCACGTGAATGCGACGAAATAAAATGAAATGAAGGAGCAAAAGAGACAAGATGTCATTAACATCCAAAAGCTTTGTAAGCCCGCATACACATTTCTATGTATATGCGTGTGTGTGTGTATGTATGTGAGAGCGAGCAATCGCTTTTTATTTACATTTTAATTTCAATTTAAATTAATTTCTCAATGGATAATTTATGCAATTAGTATCGATTGCGATTGCATGTGCACGTTTAAGTCATCACCAATTGACGATATTCAAGCATAGCTTTGCGAATAAACGAACGTGAGTGACGCGCGCTCACTTATTCGCGGCAATTCACAGCCACGTTTTATGGTTGTGTATTGCTGATAAAAAAAAAAGAAAAAAAAATTCTTTGAAGTACATACATTTTGAGTGCAATATATTTGCCCGACGCGCTTCGTGTATTTAGTATGGCTTACAACCTTGTCATGATTAGTATTGCTTTTGTTGATGCCGCTGTAGCCGTTGCTGTTATTATTATTATTGCTACTGCTTGTTTTCTACTCTTTTCTCTTTCACACAGCTCTCTTTCTCTCCCTTTCTCTGCTCACTTCATTTCGTTTGCAAAGTAAAATCGAACCGTAAATGCTCTTGACTTACAAGTTATGTTGATACAATTTCGTTCGAAAGTCATTGACATAAATACAAGAAAACTGAATTAATATCGCACACTCACAGAACGTCTATTCACTCGTTTCGTTCGGAGCATGAATAAGATCTTTCACATAAACACATACACAGCGGAAAAAAAGTGAGGCGGGTAACGTAGATAAAAACGAATATGTGTATGCGATGGAGAGACGAAGAGTGAGAGTTAGAGAGAGAGAAAGAGAAAGAGAGAGACCCCCCGAAAAATAAAATAAAATAATCGAAACAAATGAACGATGAAACTATGAGCAATGCGACGGCATTTATGGCAGACGGAACGCGATTTCTCAATATCATTATGAAGTCTTTATTGTGCCCTATATTGTGACTCTAACTGTGTACGTCTGTGTTAGTCTGTGGGCATGTGATTGACTTTGTATATATGTAATTTGCATTCGTAGACACGTATTGTGTGTGAAATTCGGCACCGAATTATATTTGCGCAAAACAATGTAATACTTTTGGGCATGGAGAGAAAACCAGCACAAACATATGAATGAGCACATTGCAATGATTTCATGATTTCATCAATCTTTTCTTTCTGAACAACATATATAATACATTTTTCTTTTGTTGTTGTTGTTTCATTTGGGTTGTCGATCTTAAATTTCGACCGCATTTTCAAATATCAATGTTTCAATATTTATATAGGCTATGACCGATATGGGCCACCGCCGATGTATGATCGAGGTTATAATCGATTTAATCAACGAGATCCTGTAAGTTCTGACTTTAAAATATTTTCTCGCATAAATCGATGTCGATTGCATAATTTTCATTGTCTTTGTCATTCGTAACACAGTATTACTATGAACGTGCAAGACCTGGAGCCGCATTTCCACCATATGAAATTCCATATCGTCCAAGTGTTGGTATGGGCTATGATAATTCGGTGAATAGCCAATTTGGTGATGGTTTCGGTGGTTATGGACCACCACGACCGGCATCACGTTGTGAAGATGCCGATACATTCAAACAGATTGGATCAAGGCAACGTATACGACGTCAATACATTCGACGCATAATACCAGCACCATCGCTATTGCATTGTCAACGTGAATGCATCGAAGCTAAAGATTTTGTATGCCGTAGCTTTAACTATCGCGATACATCGTTGTTATATGAAAATGATGCAGCTGCATCGAACAATGCTGGCCGTGAACGTGAACGCGAAGTAACCAATTGTGAACTAAGCGACCGAGATACAAGGGAATTAGATATGCACAATCCAACCAATTTCGATACGAGTAGCTTTGACTATTATGAACGCAGTAATGCTAGAAGTGGTTCCGACAGTGAATGCTTAGATGGTGAGTAATTGATGAATGACGTTCGTTTTTTTTGTTTTTGTATCGTTTTTTTATTCTTTTTACATTCATTTTGCAATGAATGACGCGCGTTCAATGTTAAATTATTGCATCGTCTTTGTTGCTTGTTTGCTTGCTTTTTTATAAAAAAAATTTCACAATATTTACACGCAGTTTCACAAACTTGCAATGAAGATGGTATGGAATTCACGCTGAGAACACCGGAAGGATTTTATGGGCGAATTTATACATACGGATTTTATGATCGGTAAGATAGCTTATTTAGAAAAGAAGTGAGGGAGAGACATAGAGAGAGAAGGAGATAGAGATAGAAAACTATATTTTATGCGTTTGCATATTTCTAGGTGTTTCTTCCGTGGAAGTGGAGGTACTGTGAATGTTCTTCGAATCAGCGGCACTCAAGGTTATCCGGAATGTGGCACACAAAGGGTAAGGCAATATTAAACTAGATCATATACCAAGTATGTATGTACAGACAATGTATGTATTTCACTTATGTACGAAACGTGAAAGATGCAATAAAACGCACATATGTACGTATTGTCACTGCTATTTTGATGTGATTATTGTTATTTTTATTATTTGCAGTACGGTGACACAATGACGAACATTGTGGTTGTGCAATTCTCCGATAATGTACAAACTGGTCGTGATAAGCGTTTCAACTTGACTTGCATATTCCGTGGTCCGGGCGAGGCAGTCGTTACATCTGGATACATTGGGGCTGGGTAAGAAATTCATGTGCATGGTCATTGTGTGTGTGTTGCAACAATTTTTATTTAACCGATAAACTGTTCTCTCGTCTATTGTCTCTCGCACCAACCAAGAGACTATGACGATGATGAACAACAACAAAATTGATGGTCGCCATTGAATGAACTAGTTTATGTTTGAGTAGAATCTATATAGACAATCATACACAGAGAGAGATGGAGAGAAAGAGAAAGAGCTTAAAGGATGAATATGATTACAATTTCACCCCGATTCGTTTGGAATTGATAATAATTTTATTGAAGTTGAAAGTTGAATAGAATATAGAGTGATCGTAATAGAGTTGATTATTGTTAGTTTTGTTTGTTGTCATTTTGAGTAAATAGATGTGTTCAGTTTGTGCAAGAAAAAAATAAAAATAAAATTTATTGTACTGTGTTGTGTAGCGTGAAGGCAATGCGCGCGCGACGACAATATGCTGGTTGTGTTTGCTGACGCCACCGCCACAACCGATGCCGCCGTCGCTGTCATTGCCGCCAATTTAATTTTTTGTCATTCATGGATTTGTAACTGACCTAGTTTATAGCATTTTATTTCTCTTTTCTTATCTCTCTGTTAGTGTTCTTTTCGCTTTTCGCTTAATTCGTAGATATCAATGTTTATTTATTTATTTTATACATATAGATTTCTTTTCAGTATTGTTGACGTTGTTTTTTTTCTCTCTTGCTCTCTGCTTCTGTCTGTCTGTCTCTTCATTTGAAGTTGTTGTACATCATGCTTAAATATCTATCTTAATGTACACGCTATCCCACTTTCAGCATTTCTCTTCGTATCGTGTTCATTGTAGTTTATAAAATTGTCGAATAGACACTTACATACAGATACAGAGCACAGATAATAATATTTTGTTTATGGTCTGTGGCAAAAGTTGATAACGAAACGAGCACCGAAAATAAACTAAAACTTGCTCATTTCGACCACGTTTTTGCAATCAACAATTTGAATACAAAAGAAAATTCGTGGCTATCGTTCTTGTCATTTCCGTTTGATTTGAAATGCAGAATTGTTGTTTCTTTTTCTCTTCTCTTTTAATTTTCAATATACCATGCAGTCGTCGTCGGCGTTGATTCAATATCATTGTGCTAAGTGCTGAGAATATGCTTATTCACATATCGCGTAATGGAGTCGTGGACATTTCATTCTTTATAATTTTAAATTTAAAGCACGAACAAACGTTTGCGCTACTGATAATAAATTTATGGTCGACATTGAGATAATTCAGCGCATTTATTGTTAAAGCATTCATTTTTCATTTCGTTTGAAGACAGAAAGAGAAATTGTCAATAATCACACGATGGAATGTTTCGTATTTTTATTTTTCGTTTTGTCGTATCATTATACATTCTTTCATCACATGTTCTCTCGTTTCGATTTGTTTTCTCACTTATTTGTTCTTTATTTTATAAACAGCAATCGAAAACCTATGCGGCGAATGCATATTTTGTATGAATTTGCTACGATTGACCCGATTCACTCAACCTGCTAGCCAAGCGAATGCATCGTCAAACCAATTTTCCATATTCATAAAATAAAAACAATAATTACCAATCAATCTTTTGTCCATAAGCAAATAATTTTGGCCATCTAATACGAATATGCGAAATATCAAAAAGAAAAAAAACGATAGAAAAATGAAAAGCTTCCTAATATTGAATGAAAAAAAAAATTCTAAGAAAAGCTCAAATTCCGAAAAAAATCGTTTACAATATTTATTTTTAATGCACCCAACTCTTTTTGAGATAAAGTTCACGCGAAATTCAATCTCGAAATAAAAATAAAAGCGTAAACAAACAAAACGAACAAGCAAGCAGCCAAAAGAAGAAAAAAACCGCAAACAATACCACGCACACACGAATCGTATACGATCTTATACACATATTGTCTCTTTTGTCAATGCTATTTTTGACCCCGATTCCAAATTCGCGCGCATCCCAAAAATAAATGCCACGCATTTTCGAACAATCGCAATTTTTATTTGCAAAAGGTAAATGATTTTCCATTTTTCCCATTTTATTGTTGTCATTAACGTGATTGTTCATCGATTGGCGCATTTAACCTTCAGCTTACAAATAATTAAACAAAACGAAAAGAAATCAAGATACTCTTTTTCATTCAATCTCGATTTTTAACCAAAATTCAAAGCAATTTGACTTTTTTTTTCAATTTCATTGAATCGAAACCAAACGAAACAGATATATAGTTTTGTTTAACTCATTCGTTGCGAATAGCACAACAACCACCCCACCATCACCACCACCACCAAACCAAACCAAACCAACATTCAAAACAAATAAATCGGTGATATGTCAGCAAATCATACATAATACCTCAGATAAATAAGGGTCATTAATACCATTTACCAAACAACAACAACAACAATTTACAACCCAAAAAAAAAAACAAATCGTGATCTTTTGCCAACATTACTTCATCTCTTTTACTTTTTACGATTTTTTTTATATGACAAATACAAAATCCGCATGAAGACGGAACAAATCGTATCGCTTGTTAGTCTGTAGAAAGATAGCGAACAATCTCATAACAAAACTAATATTAAAATGGCACTTTCAATTCAACTAATTCCGTAGAAATTACTAACAGCGACCGGCTTATCCATCATTTTAAATTATCCTTTAAAAATAAAAGACGATAAAATGAATCATTTCGATCGTTTACCCCGGTGCGATATTTTGTGGCAGATGACATACTATGTGTGTTAAACACACCGTTGCCATGAGCTATCGCCAATCGAAATGATGTTGAGATACGACACAATTCTGTTACCATCTGCATTGGGGCAACAGATTTCAGTGCGTCTATGATCTTTGTTTTAAAGGATAATGAATGAATACGCATCCTTTTTAAGAAGTTTTAACAATATTGACAGATCGGGAAGCCCAATTCCAATCGAATATTTGCCGGCCGAAAATACACTCAGCTCAAAAGTACGGCTTATGATCCTCTATCAGAATCGACCAACCACAACAATTGCTGTCGGTGATCCGCTAACACTTCGCATTGAAGCACAAGACGGTTATAATCAATTGACCGACATCTTTGCAACGAACGTCGTAGCAAGAGATCCATACTCAGGACGAAGTATTCAATTGATTGATCGTTATGGGTAAGAATATATTCGCTTTGTTTTCGCACACATTATTCAATCATTTGCATTTCCAAAAGTTTTTTTTTTGTCTTCGTTTTTTTTTTGTTATTTTCTCAACTTTTCAATTGTTCACTTTATTTAATGTATTTCCTGAATAGATGTCCAGTCGATCCATTTGTTTTCCCTGAATTGGATAAATTGCGAAGTGGTGATCAGCTTGAAGCACGTTTCAATGCATTTAAAATACCCGAATCAAATTTCCTTGTGTTTGAGGCAACTGTGCGTACATGCCGCGAAGGATGTCAACCGGCCTACTGTCAAAGTCCAGCCGGTCGAAATGAACCGTCTTTCGGTCGTCGAAAACGTTCACTCAATGATACAATCGATGACAATGAAGTGTCTGAAACGATACGAATCAATGGAACATTGATAAGTGCACCAAAACGAAATGCAACTGATGACAATGATGACGATGATTCCATTGATTTTCCGGAACAAGTGCGCGAAATGATTGAAGTGTTTGAATCACGCGAAGAAATTGAAAATGAATCAGTACCAAGAAAATTGGTTGCACCATCTGAAACGCTATGCATTTCACCATCTGAATATCATGGTTTGGTTGTGGCCATTGTTTTGTTAATGTTACTCTTGTTCAGTATAACATTGGCGGCTGGATTGGCATATCGTCGTTACTGGAAAACAATGCTAAAGAATCGATCGTTTGATACATCGTCGCCGGTTCATTCATTTGTACCATCGGCACTGCATCAAAATATGAATGTATCCAGTCATCAATTTAATGCATCCACACGGCATGCGGCATCACTTGGAATCGGTTCATCAAGTGGCGGTCATTTGAGCGGCATTCGACCAAGTTTATCACTCATAAATGGAACACTCCAAAAAACTTTTGCTACTGGGTTAGTGTTCCCGGTGACCAAATGATTTGATGACACAATTCAAAATTCGATTTTATTTTTTCTCAAATAAGAAATATCCGTTGCCATAAACTTGAATTTATTTTTTGATTGCGGTTTTGAACTTGACTTTCATTTGTTTTTCCATTGATAGAAATTTGGCGCGCATAATCAAAAACGAAAATACAGCCACTGAATTTGATGATCCAAGTGAACCCATTTACACCGATCCATCAATGTTTGAACGTTCCAGGTAAGTTTTTTTTTTTTTTGGTTTTCAATTTAAAAATCAAATTAAATGTTTGAAAACTCTTGAACAATCACACACACGAATTATTGAGTCAATGCAAAGATTCACTTTGCAACGACGCCATACTTCACGTGTGATCGAACTATCAAAATTATTTTAATTGTTAATTCTAACCTTTTTACAGAGTTTAACGCACGATCATTGTGTTTTCAGATCGATGAATAGCATTTCGATTGATCAACCATAAAACGATACAAGCAGACAAATTGCAGCGACAACATTTTGGAACAAAAAAAAATTTAAAAAAAAACAAGAAATTTTTTTATTATAGTTGGCAAAAAAACATAATTTGTAATCTCAAGTAATATTTTGGAAAAGAGAAAAGTTTTCAGTATTAGTTATAGTAGAATTTAGTGTAAAAGTAGCAAGAATCAGAAAAAACATGAAAACGCACAAACATTCAAAACAAAAAAAAAACTAATTAGTTTATAGAGAATCATTGAAATTTCCTTTTTTTCGGCTTAATTAAATATCACGCATCCACATCATGACATAACTAATGAACAATACAAATAGCATATATTTTTGTTATAGCTGTTTTCAACATTTTCATGAACCGATCGACCCCCACCCCAAAAAAAATGAAGTACTTAATAATCTTTCTTATTTCAATGGAATTTTACATTTAAAAAAGCTCATGTTTTTTTTAGATTCTGTGATGTTGAATAATATTTTATGGCGATGTTCAGCGATAGTCCAGAGACTGAATTCGGCCATTGTTTTTCGGTATATTTATCAACTAAATTGATGAATGTATCGCAAAATGATTCCTGATTGAATTGCGCTGATTATTTCTTCTAACCAATTCGTCCCTTCAATATTGAGCACATATAACATTTTATCTTCTGCAGGAAACGCCAAAACTTGAACGTGTGCATATCTAAATTGTGAGTTTCATTCGATACCTCAGACTGATGTCATCGAAACAGTGCAATGAATTAATATCGACCTTGAACAATTTCAACAATTTCTTTTCTCCAAAATTAAGAGAAACATGATAGCAGACAAAACAAAACGAAAAACTGAACATGATTTGACACACAACGCATAAACAAAATGAAATTGTGGGCGTACATCAAACTTGCACATTATTATTTTTTTCTTCTTTTTTTCTCTCTCGTCAAATAAAAAGAAAACCGTGTACATACTGTAATTTTCTCTGAAAATTATCTTCCATCTTCTTGTCAAAATGTCAACAACAGAACGGTTCAAAACATAATAAAGCTGAACTCTCATATTACATCATTCGGTACGCATTGTACTAAACTAGAATAGTTTTTACATTTTGTTCGATGCACGAGTTCTACAAGATAAATCTCTGCTCATTGTTTGAAAGTCAAACTTTATATTGAGCTCATATTTCTTTTCTTTTGCCTGATCAATAATGTGTAGCGTCAAAATGAAATAAGCAAGCAGTCCGACAGTTCTTCTCTTCACAATTTAGAATTGCATACACAATTTAAAACTAAAAGTACATTTATATCGATTAACTTTCATGGCAACTGATTTTCTTTTTTCGATTTGAATTTGATTTAAAACGAAAAACAATGTTGAATTAGTTTTGCAAATGAACCCGCACCCAAAAAAATAAAAACGAGAAAAAATGAAAAAAAAAACAGCAACAACAAAATCCATTCCAATTGATCACTTCTATTGAGAATTGATGCTTTAATCTTAATTATGTAAGAGTAAATTATATTTAAAATGTATTTTTAGACTCTGAATTAATAATGCATATTCGTTTCTTTTTGAATTTGCAACAAATTTGCATTGTACGCACCCCCTCATTTACTATTATAATGATTTGATAATGTATGATCTTAAGATTGATTGACGATGATGATGACGAGGCGGAAAGTAAAAGCTGAGAAAGCAATTTAAACATTAAACAATAAACTACCTTCTATAGAGCAAACTATTAAATCTTAAGTTCCAACAAAAGCAACAACAACAATTCTATCTATACGATTCCTTCTAACGATTACATTGTCAAGAATATGCGCCGTCCATTTTGATGAATGTATTCTATTTGTAACTTTTAAAATATATAATAATGCATCAATTTTATATAATCAGATAATTTTTGTTTTTTCATAACCGATTAAAAATAGAATTTGCAGCAAAAGACGAAAAAAAACTGACTATACCGTTTTCTTCTTATCTTGTCATTGGCCCTGAATTGTTTTCTATTTTATCTCGTATTTGTTATACTATAAATGGAAATCAACAGGTGCACGAGAGTGAAATCGTACTTTTCTCACATTTCGAACACCGTGTATATTTCTAATTAATTTTTATCCTCCAATATCAAGTTACATAGAATCAAACATCTATATATAATATCGAAGACTTTCTTGGAATCAGACGCGATGTTTGTACGATAAAACTTCAATGCATAATCACGAACTTCTTTAAATATCGTGTATATATTGTTTTTTGTTTGTAAAATTGATTCTTTAATGTTATATTTTGGTTTAATTTTTCTTGCAACATTATTTTAATTCGTATCGTTGTTATTATTACGGGTTCTTTCTTCATTTAATTCGAAGTAATGGGTTGAGCTTATTATTTTTTAACGACAAATTTGCATATATAAATCGATGCATATGAGAATATACATTTCAATTGATGAAACTTAGTGCTCAAATCAACAAGTTAATTTTGTGTCACATCTCTGCTGAACCATTTTTCAATTACTATAACTCTTGGTGTGTGTCTCAGTAGTTGCGCGTATAAGTGAATTCGAATAAAATGTGGTGCCATATAAAGATCATTCTGTCTTTGCTAGTTGTGGTTAAAATTGCCGAATCGAAAGCTATCGATGCCAAAACGGTAAGAGGAGTAAATGATTGGTTCGAACACGTGATTGAAGAAACAACGATTAGCATACATTTTTCTTATTATTATTGTTTATCGAAAGACATAGAAAAAAATTTCAATTTTTTTTTTGTGTTATTCAATTCTGTCTTCGAATTCCAAATACAGTCCATTTTAATAGTATTAAAATTTTGAATTTTTTCATTTCGTCACCGATTCATTTCGCATAAAAGAAACGACATAAAAAAAAGAAAATAAAAAGAAAAGAGTGAATACCATCTGTTAAATCTAATTATTTGTATGTTCATGACACGTGAGCTCTCGAAAATGAGAGCTGGTTTAGATTTTGTTATTTTATTCGAGAGAAGATGAAAAAACGTAGACTAAACCATATTTCATAATTTATAATAAACAAGGCCATTCAATATTTTTGATTTGTAATTATAACCAATAATTGAATAATGTAACAGAATGAATACCCAGTTACATTTTAATGCTCGAAAACAAATCAATTGCGATAAACACGTGACAAATTATCAATTCGTTGTGATTGGCATTTTTCTACTGTGTGTTCGATTTTCTTTTCAGAATCCATGTAATAAAGATGAATACTTAAATCCGGTGACCAAAAATTGTTCGGCCCTTCTGGGGGGCGGAGAAGCAATGTTTATTGATCAAGTTTGTATTCGCCTTTTTTTTCTCCCATAATTTGAAATTATATTTATCAATATACCATTTCGTCTGCAGAGCAAACAATGTGTCAACAATTTCATTGGAGTGAAACCTTATCCGGACAATGAGAAATTTTACGTAATATGCGACACGGATTTCGTCGTCTTAGCCAACTGTCGAGACAATTCAGTAACCTAATTATTTTTAAATGGCTTTTATCATTTTCTAAAAGAAAAAAAAACAATACTTGGTTTTTCCTGTTTTTTTTTTTTTTTTTTTTGTACAGAGATTTGATACGAACACTTTAAAATGTGAAGCGATTAACAAATTTCCCTGCAATGTGACACAAATGCCAACATGCATAAATTCTGGTAATGCTGGATTTTGTATTTTAAATTTAAATGCTTTAAAAACCATTTTTAATTAGATTGAATAAGTTTATAACCAATTTGTAAGAAAAATGATTTTATTGATAGGACGCTTTGCTCTCGAGCAAAATTGCTCATGCTTCTACACATGCAACAGTGCCGATGGTAAAGAGGAATTGATTTCAACAATAATGCAATGTCCAGGAACGTCGCTGTACTCGCCGGCAATCAGAAGATGCTCATACTCATTTAAAACCCCACCAACTGAGGTAGTTTTTTGATTAGCCATTTGACTTGTTGAATCAGCCATTGAAAACATTCAATTGGTTTTTATCTAACATTAATACTATAATGTATTTTTTTTAATGAAATTCAGATTTTGAATGAAAGTGACATTGATCCGGACGAAAGAGGAATATTCCCGCCATGCACAAAGCCCGGGAAGTTTCGGTAAGTTGATGAACATTTTTATATTTTTGAATGAAAAATTGATTTTTTTTGATCTAATTTGTTCCATATCATTAAAACCATCTCGCAGTGTGCCGACCGATTGTTCGAAATATTATACATGCAGTACAAAGACTAATGGACGATTTTATCAATCCCGATTCAAGTGTTCAGATGGCTTTTATTACGATTGTAAGCTTGAAGAATGCAAACCCTATGCAGAAGTCACATGCGATATGATGTCAATCGTTGAAATTTTAAATTTATTTGATTATTATCGGACACAAAAATGCGGCAAGCTGAACAACACAGATAATGAATCGATTGTACAATGTATGAATGCAACGAACGAACCGAATATCATAACAACCGAGCAATCGACCAAAATTGATATTATTTCATCGACGCCCGAGCAAATCCTCAACACAGTTACAACACCCAAACCAAATGTGAATACAGCTTCGAACGAATCACAAATTGAAACATCAACTGCAACTTCTCTTTTTTCATCAACCCACGATTATGATGATGATGATGAAAAAATGGAATTACTCAGTGCTGAAAGTTCTCTGCGAGAACGCAAAAGAAAAACGACATTAGCTCCGGCTAGCACAACAATCACATCAGTAGGTGAAAAAACATCATCATTTGCTCAAGTAACGAATGAATCAACCGTTGGATCAAATGATATCGAAAGTAGCACCGTTGCGTCTACCACCGAAACTTTGTTGGAATCAACCACGAATGATAATGTAGCATCAGGCATCGAAATCGTTTCAACTGAAAACAGTGCTAAAGTGACAGAATCGATGGATGTCTTGGCAGCAATAAAGGAGATAAGCACAGAACCAGACTCCGATGACTATGTTCCAAATGTTGGTTCAGTTCAAAATACCAATGATGATTTTTTGACTACAACATCCACTGATAAAAGTGAACCATTGAGAACGACGACGACAATGATGACAACCACAACATTTGTACAAACAACCATTCCAAATGAGTTCACATCCATTTCAAATGAAACGGAATCGTCGGAAAATGTCACAACTACAACTGAATCAACGAGCACTACAATCGATTCAAATATCTCCATTTCGACTGAAGAAACAACACAGTTAACGGAGCACATGAGTACATCTACTACTGAAACCAGTAAAAATTTGACAACAGAAATGCCTGAAATGACAACATCACAACCTTTTTCAACAACTATTGAAAATGATGATTTTCAATCCAATGTTGGTTCAATCCAAAAAATTATCGAAAGTGACAGTACTGAGGGTACCAACCAGTCTTTGTTAGAATCAACAACAAACGAAAATGTAATATCCGATCTTGATACAAATAATACATCGACATTGAATACAATTTTTTCCACGACCGAGCCAACAATTTCACCTACAATTCTCAGCACCGATGACTCATCGCAATCTATCACGATGACTGAACAGAGTACGATTTCGACTTTATCAACAGAAGTAGCGCAATCATCCGATGGAAGCGACGCACCGACGGAAGCGAATGAAAGCACCTCAACTACTGTTTCAAATTCACCATCAAACAGTACCGAACACTCTATTTCATCTGGAAACATTTCAAATGCATCCAAAAGCATAACAAATAGTACGGAAAATATACAAATGACGAGCTCTTCATCAACCAGTGGAACAGAAATATATTCCGAAAGCGTAACAAAATCTTCTTCAGATGTCACCACCACCTTTAAACCAAGCATAGCAATATCAACTTTAGCACCAAATATGGATTTTGGTACGAATAAGACAAGTCTTGAGAGTCATTCATTGTTAATTTCAAGTGAAAGTCAAGACACACCAACGACTGCTTTTTTTGGTGCCGACCAAACGACGAGCCCAAATGATTTAACAACGCTTGAATCTGACATTGATTCAACAACAACTGAAATGAATCAACAGAATTTAAATGGCACAACTGAAATCGAAAGTAAATCAATACTTAATGAAAGTACAACTGTCGATACTGAAATGAAATCAACGTATGATTCAAGCGAAATGACAACAATATTGAGTACAACACCGAATCCAACGCAAAGCACAGATTTGAATCAATTGCAAACATCTGAAACGAGTGTACCAACAGACGCAACCATACCAAGTACAACCGAAGATGCATTGAGTTCAGAACCAAACGTTGGATCAATAAATACTAGAAGTGGTGGAAGTTCCATTCCAACTGAAAGCGAATCACCTCCGATCACAGTACCGCCAAATGAACAGAGCTCATCTTCGACTGATCCAAATCAATTTGCAGGAAATCCAATCACAACTTCGCAAAAAAGTGACTTGATCGATGCTACAATTTTTCCAAATATTACAGAGAGTCCACTAATCTCAACATCACCCAAAAGCAAAGAGATAAACACAGAAACGCAGCCAATAGACACATTTGGAGCAACTCAAAATTCAGATGAAAGAACGCCGATCGAAAATGAGAGCACATTCAATTCAAACGAACCTGGTGTACAGATAGGAACAACAACTGCCAGTCTTTTAGAAATATTAACTACCACCCTGTGGCCGACAGCCATCGAAACAGCAGATAAAAATCAAACTACAACTGAATCGACTTCAATCGATAGCTCAACCGTAAATCAAACGACAATCGATGATGCTGTGTCAACTACAACAGCAGAATGGCCGCATGTTCTGGTTAATAATTCATTCATTGAAATGGATGAAGAAAAAGTACCTGCCAATGCACAGCCCATTTTAAGCGTGAACATAAAACGAAACGTTTTTTTCAAAGTCAACTTCACCGGTGCCGATTGCTGTTAGTAAACGAAAGTAGCCAAGTTTTATATATGACACACTTTCAAACATGTTTTCATGTCAGTTCGTTTTGTGCAATCAAAATGATCAAGAAATAGTTTTAGTCACAAATATAGATTTTTTTTTAGAATAAATTTAATTATGTACTTTACTCTTTACTTTTGAAATTTAAATTTATTTACATAAATAACGATAATAAAGAGAATAGAAACTTTTATTGTACGCAAAGCTGTGTTGTGTTTTAAATTTGTCGATGAACCGAACCAAAACATCATCGATTCAATATTATGGCAAGAGATGGCGTTGCGAGTATGTTGCTCTGCATTTGAGCTCAATTCATCTGTCAAAATCAAACGTCGCACATACGAATAGAAATACAAAACAACACGCTGTGCGAGATTTTGTATACATCGGGAAAAAATGGACGGAAAACATAAAATGTAAGTAGAAAATGCAATTCTAATTCGATATTGTTGGTAAATATGCTTTATAGAGTGCATTCATTTTCAAGTAATTAATATTTAAATTCTTTGGTGAGGAAAATAAATCAAATTTCAACGAATACATTCGTTCAGAGTCTTCGCCGGTTAAATCAATCTGGTCTCATTTTTATTCAATTTCTTCTGATTAAAAAAATAATAGAGAACAAAGATAAAATCTAATGAAAATACATGTTCTTGCTTTCTTTTTCGACATAAAGTTTGGTTTGCGGTGACGTACGAGGCAATTTCAAAGTGCTATTCAATAAAATCCAAAACATCAACCAAAAATCGGGTCCATTTGATTTGTTGTTGTGTGTTGGGGATTTCTTCGGATCGGACAATAGCAAATTGGAAGCATACAAAAATGGCAACCTTAAAAGTTAGACCTTTTTCTTCTCTATATTTTTTTGGTATGATTAAAATTGAAATTCGAATTACTTCTTTCTCGCATAGTTACGGTTCCCACATATGTTCTTGGACCAAATACATCGGACCATTCAAAATATTATGAGGATTTAAATGATGGTGAAATTTGTCCGAATCTTACCTATCTTGGCCGACGTGGTCTGTACACAGTATCAACCGGTTTAAAAATTGCGTATGTAAGCGGAATAGAGTCCAAAGATGCTGACCCAAATTCAATTTCCAATTTCAAAATTGAGGATGTAAAATCCGTTGCGAATGCATGTTTGGCCAGCAATAATACATCTGGTGATTATCGTGGCATAGACATTTTGATTTCGTCACAGTGGCCAAATGGTCCACAAAAAGATCAATCAAATACTTCCGAACTATTGGCATGGCTATCGTCGGAAATCAAACCGAGATATCATTTTTGCGGTCTGAATGATGCATACTTTGAACCGGCACCATACCGGTAAGGAACAAACAGACACCGATTATGAAAAAAAAAATGATATTTAAAATTTGAAATTTTATTGCAGAAATGTAGCACGGCCAAATAATCAGTTTAGTTTATCGACAAGATTCATTGCGCTGGCCAGCGTGGGAAATCCATCGAAAAGTAAATTTATCTATGCATTGAATGTGACAGCTGTTGATAAAATGCGTGTGACGGATTTAATTCAAAAAACAACAAATGAAATTCCATGCCCATATGATTCAATGAAATTCACAATTGAAGGTGTCAAAACTGAAGGTTCGGCACAGGGCAATCAATACTTTTACGATTTTAATAACACCGATGACCATCAACGTAAACGTCAACGATATAATCAACATGATCATCAACAGAAACGACCACGTCAACCGAACTTCGATCAAGGTAAATAAATGATCAATGTCGGGCCTCTTTTTCTGAATACATATTCAACTATTTTGTTTTCATTTTAGAAAAATGCTGGTTCTGTTTGTCATCGCCATCGGTCGAAAAGCATTTGGTTGTTACAATTGGTGACAGTTTCTATTTGGCACTTGCAAAAGGTCCAATAAATCAATATCACATTCTCATACTATCCGTTACACACATACAAAGCGTTGCATTACTTTCCGAAGATGACTGGAATGAATTGGATAAATTCAAAACGGCCCTACGGAAATTCTTTGCCAGTACGTATAAACATTCGACTTTTGCAGTATTCGATGAAAAAGTATTTAAAACGTTTGTTTGTTTTTTGTCCATCTCTTTTTTGCAGGCAAAAATCAAGAAGTGGTATTTTTTGAGCGCAACTATAAAAGTGGACATTTACACATAAATGTTTGTTCCGTTGACAAGTCGATTGCATGGAAAATTAAAAATTCGTTTGAAGACAAAGCCGAAGAATATAATTTAACATTAGAGACGATACCAAAATTAACTGCTCCAACACAACTGCCGGATCGTGGCGCATATTTTGTGGCCGAATTACCCGACGAAACAACAATGCTGTGTCGACAAATGAAACAGTTTCCCATCAATTTTGGACGTGAAGCAGTCCTATTGGCCGAGGAGAGTGGCGACGATAAAACGAATTGGCGTGATTGCTTAGTGTCCAAGGAAACAGAAATTGAATACGTTAAATGTTTTCGGAATGAATTCAAACCTTTCGATTTCACCACATGAATAAGCTGGAAGAGATAAATTAATAATGTGCTAGATTTAAGATTTTGACAAAAATTGTCGTGAATTTGTGAAAAAAGATTTTTTTTTTAATTAGAAAATTCTGTAAAATGTAATAAATGTATTTAATTTTTTTACAACAATTTTTTCTATACGCTCTTGTTCTTCTTCTTTAAAAAAAATGAAATTAATCATTTTATTGTGTGATGTTATTTTCAATGTTGTTCCGACGCATCGTTTGGAATGTTGTTTTGCCGTTTCACCCAACACAAAATGTTGGCCCATATGAGCGAACAGGTGCCAATGTAAACAATACGTAAATGTGGTGGTATGCAATAAAAGTTGATTGTTTGCGCGGGTAACCAAAACAGGCACGATCGCGCAAATGTCGGCACAAATTTCTCTTTAAGCTCGGCTAGTGGATCTTCAGCTCTTTCCATCAACGCCATTCCTTAATGTAGAAGTAAAATTAAAGGCGAAATCACATTCCAATTATGCGATTAATTTAAAGCATTGACAACCGTACCCGTATAAAAAACAACAAGCAATTGTGGTGTCATCAAAAATTGATCCAAAAATAGTTTTTTTATAATAATTCGTTTAGTTGTCCCTGGAAATGTTCCATCAAGCCACTTATACCTTCGTATCACGGTAACACGTTTCGAAGGAGAAAAAGAAGTAGAAATTGCGTGCAAATTAGCTAATATTATAAATGATATGATTTTTTAAACATACATCAAATACAACTAACCATGTATACAGCATTGGACTGTACAGACATGTTCCCATAATGCCATATCGAACGAGTGCACCGCCGTCCAAATTTTCCGGTGGTTGAGTCTAATTCAATTTGAAATGAATAATAAATCGTTTAAATACACAAAATACACACTGAATTTGAATTTCAAAACTGACTAGAAATTTTTTCGTAACGATTTGTTGTGAACATTCGGCTGTCATATAGAGAGAACCATAAATCACACTATTCGATATAAATGGATATTTGTTAAATAAATGTTTGAATCGACTGGCCATTTTATTTTAATCTTTGTAAACACAATGTGAGAAAAACGAAGAAAAAAATAATAATATAAGTATTAGAATTCCAGAGTCAACACTTCAATCGATGCTCGCCGTCATATCGATAAGAAATGGAATGTTTTTTTGGTGATTTGATAAACAAACTGTAATTTGACAGTGAACGTTTTAGATTGTCGCTTATTTCAATGTATGTACACGACCGATTTCCAAAATGAAATGAACAAACCACGTTTTATCTCTGTCTTTCGATTCGCAATTCAATTGGCATAAATTGAAACTCGTTTGTTTGTTATCTTTGTCAGTCATATTACCAGAGATGAGATACATACTTGCTTATGATTATACCAATGAATTTAAATTGATATGAACTGGAAAGTCAACATGATAAAAACAGAGATGTAATGGTTTTCACATTTCCAACATAGCACACAATATCAGTGACGTCATTAAAATATGAAATACGAATATTGAATACAATAAAGAGCCAAAGCAACGAACGGCAACTTCATTTAAAATTCTCATCTGAAATGATATGCAATCATTTGAAATGCATCGCCACACAGAGAAAATGAAATTTAGCATATCAGACGAAGTTATGTATTTCTGTGGTTTTTGATACAATTTGAACATTTTTCCCATGTTTAACGGTGAAATCATCAACAATGACATGACAATTTGCAACATTGACAGCTATCTCGTTCTTATGCATCGAACCGATCCAATATAAACAGGTGGCTGCGTGTGATATGGAAGTATCTCTATACTTTCTTTCGTTATTTGCGCTCAAAAGACCACACGCATACTAATATGACTTGCGTGTTAGTTGATTAGTAGATCGAATTCTTCTCGTTGGATTCTTCTTCTTCTTCTAAAGTACGGCTGGATGTATTGATACAATTGACAACCAGAGAAAAAAACACTTATGCAAGAGAAAGGGTTTTAATCACATTGTGCATTTTATTAAGGATGGTAATGAAACCGGTTAGTAAAAAAATAAAATTGTTAGTTGAAAATGAAGTAGAAATAGTTAATGACATATTTAATCGCCGGTTAGCAAGAAGAAATACCAAAATTAAAAAAAAAAAAGTTGAATTGAAATGTTTCAGAATCTTTTAGTCTCTGTGTATATAAATGCTGATCGTTGGCAGTGAGTTCTTTTCAAAAAATCCTGTCTTTTAAAAATGAAATCTCGTTTTGGAATTGGCATATGATTTATTTCAGATTCTATAAAGATTTTCATTTTTTATATGATAATTTTTCTGTAATTTATTTGAATATTTATCCATGAACATAGAAATAAGTCGCACGAGAAGTTGGTGGTGTATCTGTTGAAGTACCTGATGGTGAACCTGTGGACGGTGAACCCGTTGACGGTGAACCTGATGGTGATCCTGTTGATGTGGTGGTAGAAGTCATCAACGACGCTGAACAACACCATTTACAAAAACTGAACCAACATGGAGGTTCACGAAATTTATAAGGTTCACAAATATTGTCACAAACCCATTGGCCACAGGCATACGGTGGAATTTCTGTAGCAGTCGTTACTTCGATTGTCAAAGCCGAAGCCAGATAAAATAAAAACAGCACTGATTGTAGAGTTGTCATATTTCTAGTTATAAATTTCAATTGTTGCGACTGTTGAAATATGTCAAAAATGGTCAAGAAGACGTATATTTATAGCATCTCAATGGAAATGGAAATAGGAATACAGTTTGATCAACAAAGCAATATAAATTTGCGAAAAAAATCGATTTGTTGCAGAAGAATTTGTCGTTAATAAGTTTCCACCAAGACCAATCAATTAATTCAAATGGCAAAAAAACTAATTAAAGATTTTCTTTCATTAAACAGAATTGGTTTCGAAATCACTAATTAAATTGATACATATATCACTTCCCTTTTCGATGTTGACAAATTTATGGCGATTTTTAAATAGAATTATTTATAAAAGATTGCTCTACGTAAAGCCTACGATTGAAAGAACCGATGTAAAAATACAAATTTCCAAATATATTCACTTAATTATCTGGTTTCCGGTAAAATTGGTGAATATTAGCAATTTTCTCCATACATTTTTTCTCTCGATACAATTGCCCTACCACATATAACAATTACTACATCGTATTCAATGTTGACTTTAAAACTTCAACGGCACCGCATTCTTTAGCATCGAAGCACGTGCAAATACAGATAGATAAGAGAATTTTTTACGCAAACAATCGGATGTGAATAAACAAAAAAAAAACTGGGAAAAAAACGTCTAAGCGCCACCAGCTATATGTGCACACAAGAATAAGAATCGAGAGTTTATTTACCATAATCTTATCAATATATTTAGAGTATTACGACGCTTAACGCTGGAAAAGAATGCGATAGTTTCAAATGTTACTTGCACAGCGCCATTATTCAATCGATGACGCATTCAATGATAAAGACATTTCTAATATCGAAATTCATTCCGTAAAATTTGTTTAAGCATTTTGTTTTTCGTATCTCTTTTTCTACGTTTGAAAACGTTAAAATAAATACTCATTTTAGTGAATCAACTTGTCTTGTTCAACGGCAGAATGTTTCTAAACACAAAGTATTACGTCAATGCAATGTGACATGTTACATTGCCGTATCTAACATGTCACATATTTTTCGTGAACGACCTTTCACAAATTGCATCGTTGTCCAAGAACATTTTTCATCGCGCATTTATCATAACAACAGAAGATAAAAAAAAACCAGCTGAAAATGGATAATTTATCAAAATTCGGATGTCAATTAATTGGCTACTGCTTATCAAGTGATAAATTTGTCAACCAAAATTTACATATGACTTTTCGAGGTTTTTAAACTGCGCAAAACATGATTCAAGTTTCAAACGAAAGATTCATGTTTGTTTCGTTTTTCGAAATAAAAATGGTTTGTCGTGAGATGTGGCAGTTAAAATAAAATCCACAACACTGAATAAATACATTAACAAACACAAATTACGCGTATTACATAGCGCACTATTTGTTTTTATTTTTATAATATAATGACCGCAGGGAAAAACAACGATAAAAATAGTTGATGTGCTCTTTTTTTAATATGAAATCACGATAACATAAGGACATATAAATTCATTTAACAAACCAATTATGATTGGAAATGTGAGAATATCCAATTTTATGGTTTGAAAATTAAAAATTCATGCAACACCAAATTATTATAAGTCGTCCAGATGATTATTTCCAGTGCTTATGTCATGCACGACATCAAAATTCGGAAAATAAATGGATTTTAATTCCATTTTCAAAAAAAAAAAAATCAATAGTGAACAAAGAGAAAAAAAATAAAATGAAAATGGAATTAATCGAAACATTACTAATAGAATGAATACGATAGATTATTTACAGAATTTTAAAATGTTTGGTCTTTGGCACAAAGAATAAAACGGACCATTCAAACAACATCAAATGTATATAAAGGTGTGGAATTTGAAGAAAATCAGTGTCTGAAGGAAATATTCCACAAACATCTATTTGCAACCACTTTTGAAGAAGCGGCGATATTTTGTTTCAGTAAAAAGAAAACATAAAACACCGATGCCATGCTCAAGCACACACAAAAAATATCGTGTAGAGAGAGAAAGAGAGAAAAAAAGCACAGATAGTAAACAGTGTATATGAACGGTCGTTTCCTACGCCTTTCTGCTGTGTGTACAGTATAATTCATGTTGTTTTTTGCTTTGTGCGACGCGAACGCGAAAACACAAGCGGCTACATTTTTCGCGCTAGCCCCGTGTGCATACGAATATCTATATGTACACATATATATTTGGAGCGAACGTATCAGCCAAATTTCCATTTCAAAAACAGTCTTTCAACCGTCTACATCGCTTTCAGGCAGTCTTGTTAGTTTTTCAAACGGATCAATTCAAATGTAATTTTTTTTTTGGTTATCTTGTAGCATTTTTTGGAGAACATTTTTTGTCATTATCATATTTATCAATTTTTATTTTTTTGTTATAAAAACAAAATTATTTTAAATTTGGGGGGATAAAAGTTGCTTTTTTTTATTTCAAAGGAAAACTTGGAAAACACTGATTTAGTTTATTTGTTTTTTTATTTTTCTGAAAAGCTTTTGTCAAAAAAGTTCTTGTTCTAACATTAAAAATGTGTTTGTTCTTGAAATGATTTTTTTTCGTTCTGCAAAAATGGCAAGTGATACAAGTGAAAAATATCCATGTTGTTTGCGGTTTTCGTGAAAATAAAAAAAAATGCAACTTTTGTGCAAAAGACGAAAAAGAATGGCTTAGATCTAATTGTTCGGCGCGGATAATGTACTCGTTAAATATATTTCGTTAGGCTTGAGATTCTAATTGAATTGTTTTAAAACAAATTGTCTACTATAAAAGGGGATCAATTTGAAAAAAAAAAAAAAATGAATAGCACCAATTAATTGTCAATTCAATTTCCGAATGAAGGAACCAAAACGAAAAAAATAATCATTCAGAATGAAGTCCGAATTGGTTTGCTATTGCGACAAAAAATTATCATTTTGAATGTAGTGTTAAATGCGAAAGTAATATGGCGTTGATTAATTCGAAAAAATAAGAAATTGTGAAAATAGCAAAACAGTAGCAGACAGTAGCTTAGCACACCAAAGAAGAAACACATCTGGTTGTGAAGTAAAAAAAAAACAACAAATAGCATGGAAGGAGACAATGCACGCGCGCTTTCGTAAAATCGAGTAAACAATGATTGAAGCAGATAAATCATTTTTTCTTTTCAAAGTCGCGTTCGCATCAGAAAAATCGAAAAAAGTTTTTTTTTTGACAAAACGTGTAATTTATAGACATTTAATCTTTTAGTGATTCGACACCATTATAAAAGCCATCGAAATGACAGTAAACACACAACCAAACATCACTTATCTTTTATCTCGTATTCACAGAAAAATCGACCGGCACAAGAGATTAAAATCGAATTCAAGAAGCAATATCGAATACAGCCAAATCAACAAAAATGACTTCAGAAAGTAAGTATAGTGATGAAATTTATTTTTATTTTTATCAATTGATTTGTTGTTGTTGTTGTTGAAACGACAACAATTGGTAGTTTTTTTTTCTTTAAAAGAAACTGTCTTTTTTTCTTTGTTTGTAACTGAAATTGATTAAAAACAAACACAATGTATCATTTCGGGTACCATATTATACTGACATTTAAGCAATTATTCATTGTTTA